TATATATATATATATATATATATATATATATATATATATATATATACCGCACGCGACTCGTAAAACCCGCACGAAGATCACCGGGTAAATATTTGATCGCGCGCCGTGGAGTTTGTGGAACTCCCGAAGCTTTCTCTTTCTATCTCTCTCATCCTCTTCCACTTTCTATTTCCCTCTCTCTCTTTCTTTCTCTCTTCCTTCCTTCGTTACTCTTCCTCAGGAGAGGTGCTCGAGAGAGAAGCCCGGGACCAATAAAAGCTCCCGAGCTTTCGCATTGTCCCTTTGCCACCACTCGCGCGCTCTCCTGCGACGAATAAATTCGTTTCTGTTTTTTGCGTTTTCCTTTTCTCTTTCTTTTTTTTTTTTTTTTCTTTGGTTCACTTCCGACTGCTCCGGGAGATCGATCGAGGATATTATTCGACGATGCGGCGCGTCATTATATAAATCTCAGAAAAACAATTAATTTCATTTCCACCGCAGTTAATTCCGTTGTGTTGTAGCAGCGGGCGTTACACAGCGGCAAACAGGCGATAATTATCGAACGATTTCGATAACAAGCGTGGATTCGTAACGATTGTTATATTATGTGCATTGTTTATAATTACATTTAACTCTCGTCCACTAAATAAATAAATAATTAAGCCGTACAGAATTGTATTTGGAAATTATTGATAGAAACGTGGCGAATAATTGCGAAACTCATTAAAGCTCGTGGCGTTTGAAGCGTGCTATTTGAAACTTTAAGGACGAATTCTCTCTCCCCCCCTCTCTCTCTCTCTCTCTATCTCTCTCTTTCTATCTCTCGCGAGGCCAGTATTTATTTCGTATCGAAACGATGCCCTCCGCCACGACAGATCGCGTCGGGGAAAGAGAAAACGAAGGAGATCACGACGGGGCCGTGAAATTTAAGCGCATCAGGCAACACGCGGCAGCACGGAGTCTCGCGATAGTACAATATCAAGGGATTTTCTTATTATCCGCGGAGAAGAGGGCGCAATATCCTGAGAAGAGACTGCGGGAAAATTGTCGGACGAGCCTGTCCCACCGCATATTGCGACTCTCTCTCTCTCTCTCTCTTTTTTTCTCTCTCTGTCTCTCCCTTCCTCACTCGTTCCCTCGATGGTCCACGAGTGGTTGGGCCCTTTAAACTTCCGGTGGGCCGAAGACTCCGCGATAAGTGGGCGCCGGCTTAAACTCCGGTAATAAGTTCGCCAATAAGTTCGCCGGCAAGTTTGCGAGAGAGAGAATTTCGGGCGAGATTGCGAGCCGGCCGCAATAAGCTCTCGTTATATTCGCTCGGACGTCTCGCTCTCTCGCTCTCGCGCCTCTCTCATTCTTTCTCTCTCTCTCTCGTTTTCTTTTTTCGCGCGACGGGAAAAAATAAAAAAAATATGTGTATAATATATCTGAGGAGAAAGAGAGAGAGAGAGAGAGAGAGAGAGAGCTATATATATAACTATATAGGACTTTACAAAACTCGCAAATGCGCAATTACAACGGCACTTTGAACAGCTAGCGATGTCACTTTAGGGTTAAATTATCGCGCTTTACGTGTGCGAAACGGCTTAAACGGATCGCATGATCGAGGTTTAATGAACTCCCTCTCAATGAAAAGCGTCGTTTGCGAAAAATTAGACGTTTGGAAAAGGAAGCCATGAAATAGGCACGCGCGGAACAATGGTTCAGTGTGTGACGTATCATTCGCGAGGAGAGCGACGTACTAGAGCGAGAAGAAAAGAAGAAGAGGATGAAGGGATGGCGGACGATGATGAAGGGGGCAGCCCGGCGGTTGCTCTCACGGCACGAGGCGACGCTCGGGACACCACTTATGTAATTGCGCTCGTAATCCGATCCGCGTAACTTCGTCGAGTGGGAAAAAGCAACGGAGCGAGACGAGACAAGAGAGAAAGAGGCTAAGGAGCGATCGAACGAGCGAGCGAACGACTAAGTAGAGAAATTTATTCCACCCACGAGTGTGGTCTTCCGAGACATAGGGGGAAGAAGAACACAATCATAATTGCAATTACGTGTAAATCTCACTTTTTTAACACGGATGTAAGACAATTTAGGGATAATGCGGTGCAGCATTCGTGAGTCATGTGACTCGCCTCATCCCTTCAGAGAAAGTCAAAATTGCTTTAGGATTTTTATCGCATTTCGTAATGATTTTTGTAAAGCTAGACTATATTGACGTTGCAGTACACTATAAGAGAAAAATATCTAGAAAATAGTAAGTATTTATTAATTTGTTACGTGTTATTAGAATAATATTTATTAAATATATGAACGAACCGATTGAAAAGAGTTATCAGAATTCGATTAACCATGTTCAGCTTGAAATCTCGCATGGCTGACCGTAGTCTTGTTGTCCCGAACAAAAGTCTGGTAACGTCAACCGGAATTTTGGTTCGTTCGCATTTCATCAGACGTTTGATCAATCCATTCTTTTCATCTATAATGTCTGAGCCACGTACGGCCCTTCTCATCTAGAAACGCGATTTCCCGACGTGCGAATTCAATGCGGCCGTCGTTTCAGCATTAATTTGAACGCTATCGGGACGTCGCGACGCTCGACGTCACCGGCAACAAACTGCCCAAGTAATTTCGCGAGCGCTGCCTGCCTGCCTGCCTGCTTGCCTGCCTGCGACCTCGAGATACGCCAAGAACTTTGCGACACCAGCAGCTCCGCCGTCGTTCGCGAGTCCGAGCCGACCTCTTCCTCGTAATTTCCACGCGATCGCCTCTAATTAGTACCATAATCGCCCGCCGACGTTCCGTCATACCGCTAATTGATATCGTTCGATTCAGATGTTTTTTCCCCCGCAGAATCGGCATGGTCATTTCCGTTGCGTTGGGTATCATGTTTATTCCACATACACATCAAGGACGACGGAGAAAGGGCATTAATGGGACAAGAGAAATTAAATATGCATGCTCATATCGAGCGTGCCGATTACATACTTACCGCATTGGCTTAAACAGCGCCTGCATGTTGTCGCCATAATCAATTATCAGCTTCAACTGTGTGCCGCCGTCTTTTTGAACTGCAACAAGCAAACCAGCGAATACTTGAGCTGCAGTATTATGAGAAAATTCGACAGATATTAGATTAATGCAGAAATAGTTTTTCTGCAAACGTTTTCAATGCAAATAGGAAATAAGTAGGAAGTTTTATAATAACCTACTTAGAGAGTCGACTACGTGTATGCAAAAATTATGAAGTATAACGTGAAGTATTGAAGTATTGAATAAGAGTTATGAAGTATTACGTGTATACGAAATGAAATAAAAATCCTAATGCAATTTTTACCGCAATACTTTTTCCGTGCACGAAGGGGTGAGACAAGTCATATGATAAGGCTCACGAATAATGCGTCACGTCATCCCTATTGTTTTATTACATCCGTGTAAAAAAATGAGACCTACAAATTATGATTACATGATTTTAATTATGGTTTTGATATACACAAGTATCGTAAGAATAATGCCCCTAATTTACTGATTTATTTAGAGAAACGGACGGAAACAATTGTAGAAAAATGATATTAACAACAAAGAAACAAGCATGTGCAGAAACAGACACGAAAACTACTGCCACGGGTTACTAACAAATACTTTCCGCGTAAGCGATAAAAGATAATTAGGGTGCTTCTAATAAAGCGCCATCAAACTACTACGTTCCACTTTAGCCTCGTCGCGTAACGAGCAAGTTAAGTAGCTCGAGTCAATAATTTGCTCGACCAAGCCGATAAAGCGAGTCCTTGCTTGACGAAAAGTCGTAGTAGAGAACGGAAAATTTTACCGGAATTACTATTTCCAAGTGACCTTCGTTGTTCTCACCGACGCGAACCTGCCGCTTCGATCCCGCCAATTCAATCCAATGATAATTCTCACGACCTTACTGACGGCGCGCTAACTCAATTGCCACTCACCATGGATAATTGGACTAATTATAATGAGGGAACTAGATCCGTTGTTCTCCATTATTCACGATTGACGCGAATTGGGGCAGAGTCTTAAATATTTCGGTCCCGAGAGTTACGGTTCCGTCTTACTACCAGTTCGGTATCCTTAATTTCTTAATGCGTCACTATCACCGTCATTATCCCCATCGCTAATTGTCATCTTTCTCCCTTATAACTTTCTAAACGATCAACGTTTAAATGCTGCGCGCCCGAGAAAAGAGCCCGAGGAGCGTCAACTAAATCGAGCGACGATTATAAATAATCGCAATTCTTCGCGCGTCATCATTACTTAAATCGACGAAATCAACGATATTATCGAGAGCGTCGTAATCACTGGCGGAACGTGGCGCCCACGGAAATCGCTTCGAGCGAGTAAAAATCGCTGGGTCGTGCCAAACGATTAAAGAACTCTCGAGGGCGAAGTCTATTTTGGATCTATGCTTTGGAGAGAGCTGAAGCCTCATTTATTTAAGTCACCTTAAACACACTTCAATTTAAACTCGCATTTAAGCTTCACGCGCGGGACTCACCGACGTGCAAGATCAGTTTGGTCGCCATTTCGTGCAGCAACTGGTCCACGTACTTCGATTCCTCGGGGTATAACTCCAGTCTGGAGATCTGCAGGTGAAACTTCTCCAAGGTCGTGCTGTTTTTCCTGCAACGAGCGAAAATATTCGCGTAAGATTCGTCCGCGCTAATAGCAGTCGCAATAGTGGCCTTAGATGGGTTACCAGATAGGTTACTGGCTTCATTAAAAAAAAAGCGTTCAAATCGTCCCAGGCGATAACGTTCCACAATGATATTACATAAAAAAAAAAAGAGAGAACGACGAGAGACATAAACATCGAAATTTCATTCGCGATGTTCGATCGTTTCTCGTCGCGACGAGCGACCTTTCGCGGGTTATAATCGTCAAAACTTTATGGCGCGATATCGAGCCCTTAGGGGCGGTAAAGGGAAAGAGAAAAAGAGAGAGAGGGGGTGGAGGGAAGAGGAAGGGAGGGAGGGGGAATTGGAAAGAGCCGTGACGATCGTGAAAACATAATTCGTGCGAGCTTTTAAAATGCATGAAATGGCGTCCGTAAGCCACGACGGCCTTCGACCCTCGTTTTACGCGCTGGGGATGAAAGAGCCCTTATCCGTTAGGCTGCTCCTCTTCGTCTCGCGAGAGAACAATCTCCGTAGACGCACGCACGTGCGTACGTAACGCGTGCACTTCTCTTTCGAGACACTTAAACATGCTTTGCAGGCTCGTACATACCGAGTCACAAAACGGTTTGGACGTTTTGACGTTTGGACGATGTTCAAGCACTGAAGTTACAATGCTTCAAGACGTCAAAATTAAAAGGCATTGCCGACGCATTTGCGTATAAATCGATTATGGCAGCAGCCGAAGTGGCAGTACAGGGTGATATTAACGAAAATTTTTAGTTTAACTCTCGATTAGAAAATGAATAGTAAATGATTAGGCATTTATTAAGTATGCAATTCTCTGTACATTCATATTGAAGTGATAAATCGTGTACTTGATCGAGCGAGGCGCGAACGTAAACAACAATTCGCCAATTGAACTCTTCCCAGACTCGTGGATGCGAACACACTTAGCGCGCGAAGAATCGATTTAGCGTTGCCAAATGGCGACATTATTTTAATCCAAAACCTATGTATATTATATAATAATAGCAATAATTACGCAACTATATATTCGCACAATAACGAAGCGGTAATAGCTATTAACGAGCGTTATAATGTATTAATAGTCTTAATACTTTTCGCCGATCAATTATTTCCTATACTTCCACGGATTGTTCCAATCGTTTCGCGATGTTTAATTAAGAAATTCGCGTCACCATAACGACGAGGCGAAATACTTCGGCGTGATTTTTTGCGTGCAAGAGAAACTTTCAGCGACGATGGGGGAGGCAATCGCGAAACTTAAATCGAGTAATTTACTGCCCTGCGCGGAGGCCGATTGCAGAGATTCTTTTATTAAAATTCATCTCATGGCCTTTTCGCCGCGCCCCTATCCCCACCCCCTTGCTCCTCGTCGTGACCCTCCGTCATACCCCCTCCCCGATACGACTGTCAACCTAAAATCCGAGTACTTGTCGATATCCAGTTACGACGTGTTTCCAATAAAAATCCGCCCACTTTCGCTAAATAAATCATTATTGCGACGCCGCCGAAACTCTTGCCGCGTCTGAATTTTTCGCCGCAACTACCGGGCGTCGCGAAAGCGCCTGGCACGCGGCAGGTAGAACTCCGCAATTAAGACGAGAGACGAGGAGATACGATTAGAACAGAGAAAATTTAACGTCGCAATTATAATTCGAGACGGTGTTTTTGAGCCTGAATGACGGTCCGAGGATAACTCGGGAAGATTTATATCATGCCACCGGATGGTTAGTATGCCGTGAGGACTCCACTATAACGTTCCTTCGTCTTTCTCGAAGGAGAGACGACACTTCCGGGCAAACATTTTTCATCGCCGCGAATTATTCATCGGACCACACATCTTGTATAAGTTATACACATATATATGTATGTATGTGTGTGTATGTATATATATATATATATATATATATATATATATATATACATATATATATGTATGTATGTATATATTTAGACACAATACCGGATCTAGATGGCCTCGGGGGTACGTTGCTCATGTTCTTTTTTTAGTATTTATCTTGAGAGAAACAGCGGATACAAAATCGCGAAATGTTTCTTTTAGAACAAATACTTTTCCTCGAATTTCATCAAAATCGAAATAATATTACAGTTAAAAAATAGAAAAGATTTAGTATATATATATATATATATATATATATATATATATATATATATTTATTATCATTCAGCTATATACATTAAATAGCCAAGAAGGGGACTTGGTTTACATTAAAAACAACTAAAACACACATTCCACACATCCTCCATTCTTTCATCCTTTCTATTCTTCCATACTTTCTATATCTATATCACATTAAGTTCTCCTCTCTCTTTATTCTTTCCTTTACCCCTTTTCAGAAAAGATTTAGTAGCAAAGTCAATTTCGGAGCTTCTCAAAACTTTGAATTAATATTCTCCATATGTTGAATGAATAAAGTGAAGTGACGTGTTATTAGCTATCTATCATATGTGTATAGTTAATCGCAATAATTAGTTGCTTGAAAAATTGTAACTTCTGAAGAGATTCTGGAATATGAGACATCTAGCCCCCCAGGGTCTCCCTTATTATATTTACATCTCGTGCGTATAATTACAACTTTCACTTATTTGCAATTGCGCGACTTACAATCCAGTTAATTTTACCCGTCGTGGTAATTTAATTAAGTCAATTTAATTTTGTAATGGCATGCGCGTACACACGTAGAAGGTACACGCGCACGCGCGCAGGAAAGTTCATGCGAGAAATTTTTGGTTTCCAGTTTTAAATCCCGAATCCTGCCGTCTCAATCGGAAGTCAAATATTTGACGATATACCTGATGGAATATTTGACAAGTTCGCTTCCAGTTCTTGGATATTTATTTAACAAAAGTCCCATCGCGCTCGTGCCGGAATACGATACCGCGAATACAGGAAGCGCAAACAAACGCAATTATATTCCGCGCGCGGTACAATTGAATTACATTTAATTATTTCCGGGTCGCGCGAGTTGAATTCACACTTTTAAAGGGCGATTCTGATTTATCGGAATATCATCTGGCGCGCCTGGTGAACGCGATGATAATAGAAAAGTCGCTGATCATCATCAGTCCCTCTGATCAGAGTAGTTATCAAGTTTGAGAACATACGACGGGCTGATTAGGGGTTTTCGTGATTAGGCCACTCTCTTTGTCGACATCGTCGTGACGTCGTCTTGTCTCGAACTGCGCAAACCGAATCTTGCGCCGTAGATTGAGTTCGGGAACACACGTGCGAGCGAAACTAATCCGCGACTTCTCTTTGCCCCCCTTTTCATCCCCCTTCTGCTATTCCTTTCGCAGCGTCGACGTCGAGAACTCCGTGGAGACTTAGATCTTAAGCCTGCTGCTTCTCATGTATAACGCGTAGCTATCCCGAAATTAGCCGACGAACGAACGAACCGTCGCGACGGACGGATTATTCCCGTACGTATTATTGGATTCGCGCGGCTACTTGGTTTCCGTCAGTTTCCGGTTTCCCGAATTCGCGGATCTCTTGGGGAGAGAGAGAAAGGACGAGCAAGGGAGAAGAGACAGTGACAAATAGAAAGAGAGAGACACCTTCGAATTTTCTTCCGCGGAAATTCGATATAATGAAGTAAACAATATAAAAAGTTATATTTAACCACAATAAATCTTATCTTACTTATAGAGGTTTTTTCATACGGAAAAGCAATTCCCTTAGAACTTAATAACTGACACGTCGCTCAATTTTATTCACACACGATGGAGAATATTAATTTTGGTATCAAATTTCTCGAGAGACTTGGAAATTTACTTTGCTACTAAAAAAAATATTTAACAAGTTTTTTTCCATTATTTAATTGTGATATTATATATATTCCGATTTTAATGAAACTCGAAGAAAAGTTCTATGTTCTAAAAGGACCATTTCACGATTTTGCATCTGTGTTCCTCTCAAGACAAATGAAGAGCATATGAGTAACATACTTCTGGTGCCATCTAGAGCCGGCCTCCCCTACTTGCGAATCAGCGACTCAGCGATCGATGCGAGTTCGAGGATCGTCGAGGTCGATCGATTCGCGTTCGCATTAACGAGCTCGATTGACATAACGCGCTGTGTACAATCTACATAGCTCTCGTTTCTTGCGCCACGGGCAGTAGTAATACATCGCGCAATACGGCCGGCGATCGCTAATGCAATTTCACGGCGCATACACGCGCAATAACGAAGGCTTAGGTCACCCTTTCATGCATCCGCGCCGACTGATTGCGTCTTGTCCACGCACGATTCGTATCTAATTCGGTTAGCCGCTTATATTTTTACGCGCCCCTTCGCCTCGCCCGCCGCGTCGGCCGATTGCATTTCCGCCTCTGATTGCGTGTTTCCGTTCCTCCTAAATGCGCAGGTGGAGTGCGGAGAGAAGGACGAGGCCGGCCCTTACGCGTAGAAATTACAGATTGCTACCTCGGCGCCGAATGACGGATCGTTAATTATTGCAGCGATTCTGTCGCTCGTACGATGCCGCCCGGTCGAAGGACTTTGCCGTGCGGCTCTTCCGGGAGAGCAGGCACGATTCCCCACGAGTTCCCCGCGAATATAACGCCATTCTACATATAATTTTCGGAAAATAACGCGGTCCACGTCGGGTGATTCTCAAGTGACGCGGGACGACGCTGACCGACCGTCCGGCGGCGATGCATAATGCATACGATGCAGCTTCTCACGCGATCTCGCGCGGAGGAAATATCACGGCGACGTGGAGAATATCAATCCCGCCGCGGATATCAATGGCGAATCGGAAGCGGAGATGTCGCTTCCTCACGCCGATTCGATTCCCGGTATAACGGGCGCTCCAACGCTTCTCCAATGTCTCTCTCTCTCTCTCGATTCACACTGCGCCACCAGAAGATAGTTCGTCCTTAGATTACAAACAAATCATTATACCGTTGCATAATCAGGGCGAAGCGTCTTTTTAACTGTCGACGAATGAATCATTAATT